TGCATGGTACACGCTTAGACGATCATGTATCATTCGATACATCACTGACGAGGCTGATTTTTCCCCGCAGTAGGTTGCCATTTCTTCCTGCGGTAGACCAGTTGCCTTCTAAGGCTATAGAACCCGGTCTCTCCTGCTATTTACCCATATCTGGGGGAAGAAGAAGAAGATACATACCTTTCGCAAGGGTATTAGCACGTAAGTGAATGTAATGGATTCGACTTGAAAGTTAGTCAGTCTGTTATGTGCCATGCGTGATACACGCTTAGGCGATCATGTATCTTTCGATACATGACTGACGAGGTAGATTTTTCCCGTAGTAGGTTGCCATTTCTTGCTGCGGTAGACTAGTTGCCATCCAAGGCTATAGAACCCGGTCTGTCCTGCTATTTACCCATAGCTGGGGAAGGGAGAAGAAGAGGATTCATACCTTTACCAAGCACCTAAGCACGTATATGATTGTAATGGATTCGACTTGAATTCGAACTCGGCTCTCTGATTCCTCAATCCGAACCGCTATCCATTATGATTGGCATCTAGAAAATAGCTAAATGCAACCGCCACTTCTAATCTAACAGTTTTTTTCTCGCACATCTGACCTGTGGAATTTCCTTCAGTTTACTTGCTTCCTTGATAAATACAATTTTCAAACATTTAAATGCAACGTCAATTGCCATCTTCAGTATTCTTGAATCCCGTTCATCTTTTGTTCTTTCCTCAATCCTCCTTATTCTTAGTCTTCTCTTTCACTCCCTGTAAACCCCCTTAAGTACTAGTGGAAGTCACACCTTGCTTGGAGTGATGTGATTAAAACAAAAGACTACAAAAGAGGAGGTCAGTTGGAGTGAAAAATATTTATATTAGCTCATGTCAGGTAATCCTTGATGATAGGATAATTATCACAGGTTGGATTTGTATCTAGAAAAAAAGTTATTGTACTTTTAGAAAGGAACATTTAACTTATAACAAAGATATTTAATTTTATTTCTAACTATAATCCTTCAATTTTGTCTTTAACAAATTATTTTTAGTTTTTATCTTGTTGAACTTTGGATGTCGTCAATCTTACGTGTCACCTGAATGTGATTTTTTTTCATGTACTTATTCTCATTGCTATTCGGTTTTATGGAATGACACAGGTGATATTGATTAAAAAAATAAAGGCGAATCAGGAAAGCAGGAACGGAAACAAAAGAAAAGGAAGGAAATAACAAAAAATAATACGTCTTGAGCTGAGATCAAAACAAAAACGGTTATTTCACAATTCATTATTCCCATATTTGATTTTCAGAGCTACGATTCTGTTTTTCATGATTTTAAAGAAACCGTAAAGAATTATATAAATCATTGGAGAATATCAAGCATTTAAAAAAAAAGACACGGAATATTTGTCGAAGCCGTGAGGATCTTTAGTAAAATAGAATTTGGAATAGAAAAGCATACAACGTTGGTTCTGTATGAGAAGAAACATATGGCAAGAAACGGAAGTGAACAAAAAGCAATAAGAATCCAGCATCATTAATCAGAAAGAGAGAAAAGAAAAACACCTATATAAACGATAGGCTTTATCACATTGAAACCGATGTTAAGCAGCGCCGAGCCAAGTCAGTACCTAGACGGGTGGCCACTTCGGAATACCAGGTACTTTAAACTTGGGTGAATGTGTAAGGGTTAATCGCTCGGAATTGTTAATCGGAGAGCCGAGTTCTAATTACAGTTATGTTCGTTATATTCACTTACACACAAATAAACTTGGGAAAAGTATAAATCCAGCTCTTCTCCCCACAGATATGGGTTAATTAGTAGGACATGTATAACTAAATCATTATTATCGCCCCACCAAATTTCTCATAATCTAAAGGTATTTTCTATTTTAAACAACTTGCAAACTGTTGATAAACCGTAGGAAACGATTCAATCAATCAATCAAGCAATATATATATATATATATATATATATATATATATATATATATATATAGGGCAAGTGAGAACAAATTTGAAATACAAAAAGATATTCAGTAGAAGAAAATCAGTATGTTAAACTAAGAAAAATACATCAGGCAGCTTTCGTTCATGCATGATATCTTATCTTTGATGGCAGTCTTAAATGAGGCATTGATATTGTGGGACCATTGATTGGTCTATTCCTCGGTGACGCTCCTGACATGCTATTCCAAGGCGTTCAAATCGTGAAAAATAGAAGGTGTTGGAAGTGACACTCTCGAGACACGTAGGCGTGAGTGAAGTCATTTTGCAACACATACGGCCATTCCCTTGACACAGAACTTAACGTGTCTCATACCTCGACGTAGGCGATGGCATTCATCCTAGGTCTTTATGGCAAGAAATAAATTTGCGTGACATTGCCAACTATTTTTTTACAACTACCAAGGCCTCCATAGACGTCACAAACTTGTGGATCACCTTGGGTGATTATAAAAGTGTACAGAAATATTAGAGGACATGGTATTACAAAAATATGCAATGGGCTTACCCGCATATCACGTTGAAACATCGGTTCTTGTCCGATCACCGAAGTTAAGCAATGTTGAACCTGGTCAGTGGCTAGATGAGTGACCGTTCGGGAATACCAGATGCTGTACGCTTGAATGTGCGGTTGGTATAATGAATAAAAACTAGTCGGGTTCGTTATATTGGGAAAGGTATGAATCCACTGTAAAGAGTGATAATCTGTAAAAAAAACAACTCAATTAATCCGGAAAACTTGTGAAAAGAGTGTGGTGAGTGGTCCGGTTTTGAGGACAGTAGTAGTTTTGTGTGATGTGCGTAGAAAACAGTCCGTATGTGAAGAGATATCAATAATAATGTCATCAGAGAAAAGAAGAAGAACGAATGAATGTACAAATGATCGATCGAACAACGAAAATTTTTTTTACGGATTATTGACCCTTTTGAAAGGTTATTTAAGACCGAAACATACTTCGGGTTGTGATATGTTGATTGTGCGTGTTTGTAGGATGGATGTTAGTATTCAAAAGAAAAGAAGAGACAAAGATGAGACAAAACAGAAAAGCTTATAGACGACGCGTTTCGCCGAATGTGATGTGTGTTTACCAGCTTCTTCAGGTCAGAATGAAAAATAATAATGTGTGCAAGGAAATGCATTGGGATTCAGGTAAAATAAAAGAGACAATAAATTAAATTACCAGATCCGACGACCAAAAACCAGAAAATATTTCATTTATATATATATATATATATGGAAAAATATGAGAAACTGTTTTTTTTTCTGTTGCGTTTCACCCGTTAGGACTTCATCGGACTGGGCTTTGTTGACGCTGCCACGTCTACACATGCGCACGAAACGAGAGACGCTGGTAGTTTCATTATATATATATATATATATATATATATATATATATATATATATATATATATATATATATATATAAGTTCTATGCTAATACTTCCCTTGTGCAACACCCTTCCGGGTCCATACTTTCTAGTTAACTTTAATCTTCAAAAGTATAAATGCAATCTCAATCGCTATTTACTATCCTGAATTCTCTTCTTTTGTTCTCGCACCTTAGTAATGTTTCTGTTTTCTAATACTTCCCCACCCAGCAACCCCTTGTGGATTTAATGCTTTACATGGGGTGATAGCGATTAATATATATATATATATATATATATATATATATATATATATATAGATAACTAGACTCGTTTGAAAAACCCTCGAATTTTTGATTTGCTAATCAAATCAATCTCGAGGGAAAAAAGGTTTTAAAAAAGAAAGAGCTACAAACATGGACTTCTGCCGACAAAAAATCGCATAGATGCAGGTCTGAAGCCCAAAGAAAAAACCCCGATACGAGTAACAACTAACTAACAAAAGAGCTCAATACAACTGTAGAGCAGACCTAGATACATTTAGTGAGCCAGACAAACCTACCTAGGTTCACTAAACGGATCGTATAGAAAGATTGCCAAAAATCATACCATCATTTTAGCTATCACCTATAAATATGTGTGTTTTTTGCCTCGTTAGCCAAACTTTCCCTGACGATCCGTTTAGGTGAAACCCTAGGTAGGTTTGTCTGGCTCACTAGGTGTATTCATTCATCTATCTATATATATATATATATATATATATATATATATATATATATATATATAGATAGATAGATAGATTCCTGCCAAACCGTGTAATGAAGGTCGTCCTAAACGGATTCTCCTCCAGTTCCTTTCTCATCAACGCAGGTGTTGCCCAAGGCTCTATCCTGCACCCTACTCTGTTCATTATCTTCATTAACGATCTTCCTGAAGTAGGAATCTATGCAGACGACACTACTATTTATTCCTGCCTCAAAAGCAAGTCTGGTATCGCTGACAAAACTAACCTGACCGTTAGTCTCGAAAAGGACCTCCAATCGATTGTAGACTAGGGCAGGAATTGGCTGGTTAACTTTAATGCCTCATAAACAAAACTACTCTCTGTTACTCACCACAGGGAATCATCCCTGCCTCCCATTAGAATGTCTGATGCTCAACTCCATGAGAGCACCTCTTCGCGACTGTTTTGTCTCACACTGTCCGATGACCTGAGATGGAAATCAATAGCTTCATCCACTGCAAGGAAAGTTGGTTCCCTGTGTCCGACCAGAAAGTTTTTCTCGACCGAGTCCATCTTTCAAATGTATAATCAACCATTCGCCCTTGCATGGAATACTGCTTCCATATATGGTCTGGTGACCCTGCTGTTCGTCTTAAGGTCCTCGACAAAATCCAGAGACGCATATGTAATGTGATTGGCCCTGATCTGGCATCTCGTCTACAGTCGCTCTCTCACAGACGTGACGTCGCCTCCCTCTGCCTTTTCTATTTTTACGGTAATTGCTCCAACGAACTACTTTCGCTAATTCCCAGACTGTATGAATTTAAACTTGCTACTAGACTGGCATCATGGTCCCCACCCTTTCGCAGTCGAAACGGTTAAATGTAGTCGTCTCTTCTACTTCAATAGCTTCTGTGGAATTCCCTTTCTATTACTTGTTTCCCTGATAACTATAAACTTCAAATATAATGTCAATCGACATCTCCAGATGCCTTGATCTATTCCCTGTCCGTTTCTTCATCCTTTCTTCCATCACGCCTCTTTACTCACACTACCACACTCTGTAACCCCTTGTGTGCTAGTGGCATCCCGCCTTGCTTGGGTTGAAATGCTTTTAAAAAAAAATCCGTCAGTCGAACCGCATTTCTGTTCCTTCAAGTCCATTGTTCTGTATTCATTGCCATGTAGGAGGACCGGTATTTGATATTACATAAGAGTACAGTCCTCTTTTATTTGTTTTTAACATTTTTTCCGTTTTTTTAATACTTTGCTTGACTTTTGGAAGGCATCTTCGCTATCCCAGTTCGGTTATCAGTGTCTTTCTTTCCGTCCTCAGTTAAAGCACTTCCCACATATGTAAAATGTTATAGTTTCATTTTATTATCGTCAATCTATAATTTGCATTTTGGCTCGTTTTTTGTTTTAGCGGCATATCAACACTTCTAGGGGTTATTTAATGCTGAAATCTGAATATTTTGAACACGATTTTATGGCTTCAACTAAATATATTTTGAACGCAACTGTATGCCTTCAACTACAGATAAAATGTATTGTTGGCCATTCTACTATAAATTATATTGCTGATCATTTTGCTATAAATATGAATCGTCGGTAATTTAACTAGAAAAAGCATTTTTACACTTTCATAGTGTCTTGTTTTTGCTTGGGGTTAACTATTTGCCCATAGCTGGGCCCTAACAGGTACTACCACCCTGATCAAAGTGGACCTGGGAACACCAGTTATTAAGAGGTTGTTCAACGCCCCTAAAAACCTCCAATCTCCTCGGTGCACTCTGCTAGCGGAGCAGCCATGTTTACACTGTAAACTTGTAGGGCGATCGGTTTGTTTATTTTTGGTTGGTTAAATGCATATCAACGTCCTTATGAGTTATTTAATGACGAAGTAATAAAAATATGATATATGTTATTCTGCTTTCAGAATTGAATACATGGTAGATAATTCTCAGCTTTTGTGTATATTTGTAGGATATTATATGGATTAATATCATGAAAGAGTTCTTTCATGTTGGTTGTTTAGTTGATTTTGTTTAGCGGCATATCAACACTTCTATGGGTTATTTAATGCTGAAATCTAAATATTTTGAACAGGATTTTATGATTTCTACTTAACCCATTCTGAATGCAACTGTATGCTTTCAATTACAGATGAAATGGGTTGTTAGCAATTTTACTATAAAACCATATTGATGAGTCCTTTTGCTTTAAAATTGTATTGCTGGTATTTTTACTATAAAAATGTATTTTTATACATTCTTCGTTTTTTGGGGGGGTGGGGAATTGTTCACTATTTACTCATAGCTGAAGCCCTAACAGGTGCTATACCGCGTGTCAGGGTGGACCTGGAAACAACAGCAATTAAGAGGTGGTTCCACGTACTTCAAACCGTCTTGCTGCCGGATGTAGTTTATCGTCATACCAAGGACTACTGCATTTTCAGCTGTTCCTTTTGCTGCATTCCTTTTTCTTTCAATTTAGGTTTAGTACTACATAACCGCATAAATTGCAATTTCTGTCGTCTCTTACGATCATACATCATATAGTAACAATCTAACTTGAGTGCATCTTGGGCCTTGTATTAGGTGAAAATTTGTATAAAAAACAAAGATTTTAACTCATTTCAACTCGAATTTTTTCTCAAGTATTAATTTAGTAAGGTCAGGCAATAAACTGATTTAAACTCATACTTTTCCCATATTCACGTAAGTGAATGTAATGGATTCGATTGAAATTCGAACTCGGCTCTCTGATTTCTCAATCTGAGCCGCTCTTCATTACTAATTTTACTGTATACGTATTCACACGTTTTCAGTATTATTTTAATGAGTTCACACTTCTCTCGGGTCTTTTGAACAGGAGTAGTAGTTTATCCCTTGTTTCCTGCTTAGGATTTGGTTTCCGGTTACTGTTAAGGTCTACTTCAATGCTATACTTCTAACCTCTCCGCCTAAACTCTTAAATTTTATTTACTATTTTTTTTATTTACCTCGAATATTTTGATAATACCTCCCACTCAAAAAAAAAAAAAAAAAGAATCTGCAATATTATCGGTCCTGATCTGGTGACTCGGCTTCAGTCATTTTCCTACCGCTATTATGTTGTCGACCTGTGTCTTTTCTAAAAATCATTTCATGGTAATTGTTCGCTATGATTACCTAAACTTTTTTGAATTTAAGCGCAGTACTAGACTGGCGTCGTGATCTCATCAATTTACAGTTGAGCTTTCTAGACATAACCGTAAGTTCTATGCTAACAGTTTATTTTCTCGCACTTCTTGCTTGTGGAACTCCCTTCCGGCTCCATGCTTTCTAGCCTACTTTAATATGCAAAAATTTAAATGCAATGTCCATCGCTATCTACCGTCCCTCTGATTACTCTTTTCTCTTCCCGTTCATTATTAATGTTTTTCTTCCTAATTCGCCCACACCCTGTAATCCCCTTGTGGCTTAGTGGCTTTACTGCTTTGTATGGGGTGAAATTGATTAAAAAATATTTAGTTATTTATTT